TCCACAAAAGCCACTTGTCTATAGTTTTAAGACTATTCAACTCATAAACAACCAAACACATTTGAATTTCTTCCATGATGAAGCACATCCAAATCTATCTAGAGCTATCCATGAGTTGGAACAAAGATGATGTATTCATGGATAATTTAAAATCTTAGTTAGGGCAAATTAGGACACTTTCAATCCTTACTCAAATTTAAATTTGAGTAAAAAAGTCTAAAAAACTTGTTCCAACCCTTACTCAAACTTATACCAAATTAAGAAAAACTTATTTTTTTCACTTAAATTAAGGAAAACTCAAATTTTTACTCAAATCTTTAATGGTGAAATTTCACCATCTTTTAAAAATCCAATGGTCATCCTTACTCCCTTTTAAATTTGGGTTTGCCTTCATTTAAATTTGGGTCTCTTCTTCTTTAAATTTGAGTTTGTCCATTAGAGTCCTTTATATCAAATCAAGCTTTTTAATCAAAATGTTAATTTAAATTTAAGTAAAAATTTGAGTCATGGTTAGAGATGCTCTTAGAGCCTTATCCCATGTTCGGACAAAAAACAATTACTAAAAATATTCCAAAGTAAATTGGGAACCCTAATTTGTAGGATGAGAATCACTTTCCAAATCTTCTATCCATTGCATAATGAGTAATATTATTGGGATCTAAAAAATTAACCTTATTTATTGACATAATGTCATGTCAATTGATAAAATCCCAATGAAAAAGTCCAAGAGTTATAGTCACAATAATACTATTAGACCACCTCACTATCATATCATTAAGTTAACAAATTAGATATATTTTTTAAGTCTCAATAACATTACTCTTGCACAATAGACATCTTTATTTATTTGAATTCTAAGAATCTCGCCCATTAGGAAGAAATATCGTCACCTGTTAAAGTAGCTGGATGTGGAGAGTCAAGAAAATGCATATATGCCAGTAAACTTTACAATTCGATGCCAAATTACTCTTCCCAAAATTTTGCCACTACAATCGTTATAGACATCGTGTCTAAAACAGATACAAAACGTCTTGCAAACCAAGATCCTCTATGAACTCCCCAAAATCCGAGATTGTCCATGCATAATCCAATCAAACTCTTGCACGCCTCCAAATCTGTAGTCATAGCTAGTTGACAGAAGTCCTTCCAAAGGACTATCATTCTGTTGCTTCCATAATCCATAATAAAATTTGGATCTAGACATAAAACTACAACTTATTTGTAAATGATATGCACTTACAACTTAATTGGCATCAAACAACACATTTATTTATTTATTTATTTTTAAGTTAAACCCATGTAGGGTAAACTTTATTAATGACAAAATTATAAAGAAAATAGGGGAGGACATAAACCTTGCCCTTTACATAAAAAAGAAATTTAAGAGTTTACTTTAAGTGCAATTACATGTATTATCATATTCTTGATGCCCAAATCTCCTTTAGAAGTCCCATGGCATTTCTTTTCAAATGCTTTAAATCCATTCACCCAAAAAGTCCATTTGCTTTCAACGGAAATTTCCTTAACATGGTAGGTCCCATGGCAAAGATCATATTCCATGCAATTCCTTGTAGCTTCCCTAACTTTTAGTATGACTCAGGCTGCCTCCACTTGATAATTAAGGCAAGATTTGGTGGGCAGCAGATCTCCCATTTTGCTGAGCAGTCCAATATTCCTTGCAATATCGATGAAGAATCAGCTGAGCAGTCCAATATCAATGAAAAGTCCAGTTGTAGCAGTGAGAGGCGTCCTGCTTAAAAACGTGAAGCGTAAGGTGCTGGACAAATTTAAGGAGCATGCTGCTTTGTAATCCACGAAGAAAATCCAGCTGCAAGAAATAATGAAGGCTGCATTAATGTAGCAGCTTAGAACAGTGAGCATTCCAGCTACAACATAAAATCCAGTTCAGCTGCAGCAGCCAAAAAGATTCCTGTTTGCACAGTAACGTGAACAGTGGCATCTAGGCAGCAGCAGTCCATGCTCGATGAAAAGGTCCAGCTAGGCAATTAACTGCATCTGAATTGCAGTAACATGAATTCCAACTACAACAAGGAGTCCAGCTGAAAGACCCAAGAGGAGTCTACTCCGCTAAGACTTTCTTTGAACCATGATAAAGACTTACAGAAAACCTCCATGAAATCCCCGAATCAACTCCATCAATGTCTGAAACCACTAAAAACTAAATTGCAGCCAAATCAAGACCAACAAAAAAAGACACTGAAAAACCAACAAATGAGCTTTAGATAAGGGAAGCCAAATCCTTTCTTACAATTAGCTCTACAAGAAAAAGGATGGTTTTGTTATTTTGAAATTCTCTACCACTGGAATTTTCTCACGCACAATACTTCTTATATAAAAAAAAAGATAGATATGCATTTTTATAAACAAATCAAAACAGTAATTAAGGTTTTTCTTTAATTGAAGTGAAATAACTAACACTTTGCATACTACCATTGAAGTTGAGCTCATCGAACCATTGGGCTTCAATGGAAACTTCCATAGGTTTATAGAGAATGAGTGCAATTAACGAATTATCAAGTTCAATAACCCAAGAAAGTTCCAAACGTCAAAGTTCAATGAACCAAGGGTCAAAGAATTCAAACCTTGGGTGCGTCGAAACCGCAACACCCTCAAACCACATGTGACATCATTCACCAATAGACCCAATAAAAGTGTGTTGGAAATCGGTCAGCCTAATCAATTGCAAAGTCTAACCATGACCTGACAGAATCAAGTGCATAGTTTAAGTGAGGAACAACATACTTCAAATAGCATGGACAAATACAACTTGAAGGAACAAAGAAAATACTCTTGTAGAATTTTGTATATTTGATTTGTTATTGATATAAACATGAATAGAAAATTTCCCCAGTAAAATAAATCTAAGAATGTCAAGTTAATCAATATTAGACAACATTACAATTAAAGAGTATGCTACAAATTTAAATAAGTAGGAATACAAAATCTACACAATAAAATTAATCTAAAAATATGAAGTGAATCAAAATTAGAAATACCCATTGACGATGATAGCCTTGTGGTCGTTTGACACCATGAAATCAATAACCACACCAGTACACCACCAACACTACATTCAGCAATACCAACTTCAAACTCATGGTGAAGCTTGTGTTTTCCTTCACAAAGCAAACACTCCCCACACAAATATACACCTATTTATTGTTGTGAGAATTTACATCGAATTGTTAGGTGCCACTATATTTTCCCAAGTGGTAAAAAAGGATTCAAAATAGTGTTTCTTGCTAATAAAACATAGAAACAAATGGGCACTTGAATGAATTGAGGGCAGCAGCTGAACAGTGATTGTTCCAGTTGCTGCATATAGCTGAGGGATACAATAGTTGCTGCCAATACCACAAACATTTGGGGTTCAGAGAGATGGGTTGGAGTGTGTCGTCGGAGTTGGTGGTGGCAGTGATGGTTCGATATACTTCTAGAGTTTCAATAAGTAACAAAACTTAAAGAACCCACTTCAAATTTCTGGCAAAAACTCAAATCCTTGTGCCAAACACACTCCTTTGATCTAAACCCAGAATTTTCCCTCCAATGAAACGTCAAATCATCGAATGCAATTGAAACAAAATCACCCCTAAATCAAGCAATTTCAGCTTCAATGAACTGAATCATTCGAATTAAATACCCAACACTCTAAAAAAAACAATTCTCATATATATACGGATATACGAAAATCACAAACTAAAGGGGGATAAAAATAGAGAAACGAACTCACAGGCTCTCAGGAACAAAGAATGGTTGGATGTCTGTCTTTGGCAATTGGTGTGGATGAACTGCCTCTCCTGTTCACCGTAGTCTGCACTCTGTAGTAGAAGCCCTCTGCCCAGGGAATGAAGCCTTGAGATGGATTCCATGTTATAGATGCGTGATATATTCAGAGAGAAAGACGTGATATATTCGGAGAGAGAGAGGCGTGAGAGAGAGGGAGATGCAGAAGAGAGAGAGAGAGAGGCGTACATTACAAAGGCAGAAGTGAGAGGGAGAGATGTGAGACAGACGCCTGTGTTGGGCGGGAAGGAAAATTTTAATACTCATTGTTGATCGGTAGATCAAAATTTTTGAGATAATCTGAACTGTTTTTTATATTGAAATTACATTGATCGTTAGATGTGTTTATATTTTGTCTCAAAACGATCTGAACCACTTTTTGTCTTTTGGATTCAAACTTCGTTCAACTTTATTATATAGATGTATGAGAGAAAGATAAATAAAATAACTATATTCTATATATGCATATAGATATATATGAGAGAAAGAATTTTAATGTTAGTTAAACTCCTAAATTTTAGGAGTTGTTAATTTTAAAATTTATTTTAATTAAACATAACTACTAGGTATATTTTGGATAATGGAGATTAAAATGGACTTAATATTAAACAAGTTTCCTTGATGAATTTATCACCAAATAAGTCCACAAAGGGAGACCGGCCTCCAAATCCATAAAAAGAGAATAAGAACAAGATCTCCCATTATTTTTCTTAATAGATCATTCATGTATTGAATTCAATTATATATAATAGGTCTCACTTAATTTCTTTGTTAGTTATCTATCACAAAAATAAAAGAGAAAAACAACTTATAGACATGTATGACTTTGGTGGGCTAATCGACTTAAGTTTTTAGTCGGGTATGGCTTCTAGATATGTATATTGGATTTTGGATCATTGAATTCACTAATCTCCCAACAAATGATATCAAAGCCGATGATTGACAAGCCAATCCCAATACTAATGATATCTCTTAAGAAAACTGATGGCCAATAAGTAATGCAATAACTCGTAAAGAACGATTAATATTTGGTTCTTAGAAGACCAAAATTTTTAAGTGGGTATGGGATTTCATACATGTATGACTTCGTATCACTGGGCTCCGTAATCATCCAACACAAAAATATTGAACGATGTCTCTATAAAACTCGGAGAAGTCCCCTGTAAAAAAGGGATGTAATGAAATTGCAAGAACAGTTAAGCCCATCGGCCAGCCCATGTAGTAGGGGTCTGCTTGACCACCAGGGCATTTGCTGCTTTATTAAGATTGGTGTCCATGGACCATGGCACATATCCTTCTGTTGGGCTTGGTTTAATAGGCCTCTGAAGGCTCACCCAATTGAGGCCTGTTTTGATTATCATACCACAAACCCTAGCCAGCTGAATTGATTTAAGTTATTGGGCCATCAATGAATCATCATATTGCGGGCTGAATGGCCCAGGCCGTGGTTCACTGTGGCCATTTCCGACCATTGTGCAGCGGTTGGTAAAAGATGAAACCACTATGCCAACGTCGAGAAAATATTAATAAGTGAACAAACAAGTAAGTGAGTTCCACAAAATTAAGTAACCATACATCCATGTAATATGCAACCACCTCCATGTAAGACAATGAAGTCCACTTTTATCTATTTTTTGTTTTTTTTTATTGAATCGTTACACCATGTGATAATGTTGACGTGGTATAACCGTTATACCAAATATTTACGTACTAACGTCATGCATTCTGAATTGTAAATGTAATTCATGCATGCGTTGCATGTGAACCATTTTAAATATGATATGAATTTTATACATGACATTTTAAAAGGAATAGAACCATTTTAAGATTTACAGATGAGAAAAGAGATACAAAAGCCTATAAAGTTACATCACAAGACATGATTAGAGGAGCTTCGTTTGCTAGTATATATACATAAGTATACTGCAACTTAGTTGCCAAAGGAAATGCACCTAGCAAATCATGCTTTACTTAAGATCTTGCTTCAAAACGTTTAAAGTTTGCACTCGTGCGCAAACTGTCTCATTCATGACACTAAAAACATTAAAAGAGTACAACAAAACAGGGAATCGTTAAACCTTCTATATTTTGTCAAAGAAACATTTGACCAAAAAGACAAATATCTTTCATAGGACACAAACTTGTAGGAATTCTAATGTGTACCAAATGTACTGATATACAACATTACAAAGATTAAACATAATAAATCCATAAGTATTTGAAGATAAATGGTTGTAACTGAATAGTTGGTGAGTTGTTTTTCTTATTCATTAATCGTTAGCTTTGAAAAGTGACATTCACGACAAACAAACAAGAGGAAAAGATGGGGGAATGGATTTAAGAAATGAGCAATGCTACATAGATTAAAAAAAAATTGATTTAAAAATTTGACTTGATAATGTGAGTGTCATATTTGTCATTAATTTAGTTGTGAGTCCAAGTATATATTGAGATCCACTACATATTCACTGGTAATGATTCATCATGTCAAATTTTGAAATCAAATTTTTAAGTCTATTTAGCATTTTCCTTAAGAAATATTTAAACAATGAGCATTGGCCCTTTTTTTTTTTTACTTATGTCATAATTATTTTCTTTTGAGTAAATAGAAGAATACTTCATGCCCGCAAGTGAAATCACCATATGTTTTGGTTAGAACCTTTGTATCTAGGACTTTAGACCATGAAAATTCTCTCTAGTGCTATAACAGTCACGACCTTGAGTTACAGGTGCCTTATGAAGTAATAGATCAAGTAACAACATTGATCCTCTTCACTTGTAAAATCAAATAGCATAGCAATGTTTAGAAGTTTGGGTTAAGAAGCATTACCTCTTCACATTGTTTTGGACTATATTTTTTTTTTTGGTGATATTGAAAATTAAAAAAAGTTATGCACCAATTAAAAGTGCCGCTAGTTGTGGAAGTTTTGGAGAAAAAACTAAGGTTAACAAACAACATCTACATGTTTGAGAAGAACCCAAGTGAATCATGCATCGCCTATCAATCACCATCCATGTGCAACCTAATTTCTTCAATGAATTATAATGCTAGTTATCCAAAGATCACACATCTTGTACACAACTACTTAGATCAACAAATAGTAGCCACAAGTAAATTCATGGAAATTGATTGGATTGGAAATAAAAATCGAAAAAGAACAGGAGTTCCAGAGATTAAAAAAATAGATCAAGAAGCCAGCCGCTTTGGGTGAGATCTCAATGTCCCTAAGAGAGGGTATAAAAGTAGAACATTTTCCCACAAATTTGTTTTTGCCTAAATCATCTTACAAATTGAGGATTATATTTGTAGGATCTCCAAAAAAAAAATCAAAGTAAATATCTTAAATATCTCACACACAAGAAATAAATCAAGAAAGCAAAATCAAGAGCTCCAACTAGATGAAACATAAAGTTGAATAGAAGAATAAGGTTATGGCATCCAACAATCAAGAAAAACCCAAGATTGGTTCAGCTGCTACACAAAGAAGTCTTGCAAGAAAGGCTTCTTAAAGCAATTAAAAAACTAATACAAATTCTATAACAAGACTGCATACCTATTGTAGCGATACCAAGACTTTTAGAATCCTATGAGACTAGCATTACAAAACATATATAGTTTTAATTAAAAACTATAAACTATTTTCCAAGTGACAAACTTTGACAAATGTGAGAATAAGAAATGATTGAAGCTGTAATAAGTTACTAATATTATTAATTATTTATTGTAAGAATATGTAGAGTCTAAATGTTACTAACTTTCATCGTATACTATTAAGCACAAAAATAGGAGACTGCTCCAATTCTGGCAAGTGATACACTCAATTAATGCACTCACTCTTCATCCCAAAATTACTAGCTCCTAAAACCAACTATGATATCGATAATATTTTTTTAATATCATAGCTTTCCACTACCAAGGTTGGATCCCAAACTCAAATTATATATTATAGTTATTAGTTCAGGATAAAATTGACCTTAAAATATCAATCAACGGTAAAACTTAAAATCCAAGATTTTTCAATTAGATGTCTTTTGTATGCAATATATACATATACACATAGTATTATACATATATTCATATGAAAATGTGTATATGTGTGTGTGAATATCAACATTTGATGAGATGTGAAATCAATTATTATAGCCATCCTTGATCCCTCACCATAAAATCATAGTAGGAGTAGTTGAAAAGCTGATCATTTTGTTTGGAAGGGTGTCTTATGGAGATAAATAATAGTGGACCTTAAATAAAGAATCATTCTTTACCCACAAGTTATGTGCACACATGAAGTATAAAACTTTGATAATACAGAAAATGTAAGCATAAATTACTTAGACTAAAAATTTATATTAAGATAAAAAAGAAACCAATTTTATAAATTTTCCCCAAAAAAAATAATGTATATGCATTTTTTATGCGAGTGAGAGGAATACAATTATAAACACACCTAAAATAGTTAGAAAAACTTAAATAGAAGCTCACAAAGAGTGAGCAATTTTAAACCTAACAAAATTAGATATTGAATTGAACTATTAAATTTTGGACCTTAAAATTTTGAATTATTTCTAAAATACAAAAAAAAAAAAAGGCCCTACTATACTAAAGGGATAAATTTTATGAAGGTCATCCAAAATTTGAGCTTAACCAAGTAGAGAGTAATTTTGGCCCTAAAAAAATTAAATAATAATTTGAAAATATAAAATTTAGGCCTTACAAATTTAGATAATAACTAATCTATATATATATATAAAATTAGACCTATTATATAAAGGAATAAATTTTTTTGGGCCCTATAAAATTTGAGCCACAGGCAAGCACCTTTGCTGGATAGGGCCTTGCACACATACAAGATCTATCAAAAGGTCAGTGGGGGGAAATTGACCCGACATAGGATTGTGTAGCTCCGGCAAATAATGAAGTTATACATGGGGAAAGATTTGCTGTTTTTTCAGAACGAATAAAAGAAAAATTGGAGAAAAAGAGCGAACAATAGTGTACAGTTTAGCTCACATCCACATGAAACATCTGGTACTTAGTTCAACCTGTTTTTGATGTCATTTCACCTCTGTAGAGAATGGCTTCCTCTGGTTCGATAAATAGGTCTCTAGAGGCTTGCATGGGAAGAAGAGAGCAGAGGAGAACCAGTCACGACTTGCCGAGAAAACAATCGATGAGTTGCATTGCAAGACACTATGCTTTTCGATCGGCAAGTCATTCCTGGCTCTAATACACTCCCTACCTCTTCATGCAACACCCTAATAGACAAGGAAAACATCCACAACCGACATTGCAACACTCGTGCACACCACACCGATACACTAAACTATAATCGCAGATACATAAGTTTGTGTGTTTTCACCACATATATATAGGCACAGATTGGTATATGTATATTCTCATATATCACAGTTTTACAGGGTGTTTGATTGGTTGTTTAGCTTCATCAACGTGGGAATAGAATCATTCAGAGATAAGGATGAATGAAGTATGGTGTTGGACTTGTGTAGTGGTCATGCTTTGTGATAGGATATATATGCCAAATTAGAGAATGTAATAGGTCAATGAATATGACTAGATTCTGAATGTTTAAAGAGATCACGATTGGCTTGTTTGGAATTTATTTTTTTTAGGTGAAAAATTGCAGTTTGAAAAATTTTACAAAAGAGACAGAGTTAAAAAAGACCCTCAAAATTGTTTGAGGTATTATTCAAAAATATGAAAAGATTGGAAAAATATGTGAGATCCGCAAGAAACTCCAAAAAGTAAGAAGAAAAACTCACAAAATCAATTTTTTGAATTAACTTAAATAAGTCTTTTTGAATCCAAAAAGTTGATGTGTTAATCAAGATTCAAACGGACCTTACTTATTTTACTCTAAAGCCTTTAAAAATCACCTATTTAAACTAACTCTAAACAAACCTAATAACTCGATACATTTTTGAGTTTTTCGAGAAACGTTTTTGATTCACAGGTGTTAAATCTTGGCCATCATGCTTGTGTTTCGTCCTTAATTTCTTTTGGTGACTTACCAACTCTACTGTCATTGTTACTTTACAAGCAGAGTAATACTGCAGTGGTCAAATAATGAGACAAAATGAAGACCAAATTATATAACATTGTAATAATAATGCTTTTGATCTCGCTTTTATTATGATGGTAATATATACACAACTATGTTAAAACTTTACGTGTATAATACTCCCTACCAAACGGAGCATAAAACTTCACGTGTATTTCTCTCCTCAGAACTTCTTCCATTATATGTTGACTTTGTTACCCTTCTTTAATTTTTAGTAAAAGTGGTACAAGAGCCACCGGAGTAATTCCAACAAGAGTATCGATAATTTGTTTCATTGTACCATTGAGCATCAACGGTTTTATTCAAAAAATATTTATATCTGATTTTCCTTGAATTCACTGTAGAGGGAGTCTCGTGCATTAAACTGCTCTTTTATATACCTATATGCATGATAGATTCTTGAGAATTGCACTGTATACTATAAATTTCAGAAACAAAGACAATTTAGAGATCAATTATAAAGTGGTTGCGTGCAGATAGATTGAAAGGTATGGTTAGTTAAGGAGTTAACGAGTGGTTAATTTAGGTGAAAAGAAAATAAAGTAATCTCAAGGAGTAGCTGAAGTGATAATAGTGACGAGTTGTAAATTCAGACGTCTTGAGTTCGAATCTTGTAAATTTTTTGAGGTCAAGTCATGCATGATTTATCTCTCATTAATATCCTAATTTCGGTATAGATGACCTGCCTTTGACTACGCCAAGAGAAGATTGAGAAGAAAATTAGTCAAAATGTACGTAAGCTGACTGGACATCCCTGACTGTTGATCCAAAAAAAATAGAGGTGTTACGATTATTTCACAGTGTGGAGACCAAACTCTACTGATCTCTCTCTCTCTCTCTCTCTTTATTACAATCAAATCAACATTATTTCTATTCAATTAATCTATTCCCTGAGTATAGGAGCGAGCACCCAACAGGACTAATATTATGATTAAATTTACTTTGACTAGAGAAGGAAAGATTCAAAGAAGAGTGAGAGAAGCCTTAATAGAGGAACATAATACACTAATTCTTGCCTCTTGCAAACATTGACCTCGCAACCTCCCATTCGAAAGACTAGGCCATTGTGGTTGTTATTCCCACGGCGACTTAACACCTTCAAAGCAAGAATATCTCTAGAAAAGTCAGAATTAATTGATTTATTGTGATCTCTTAAACATTTGAGTAATGAACTACATATCAATAGTTCATGAAAAATTACTTACTAAATGAATATGGATGGTTATATCAATATCTCATACTAAATAAAAATTATAAGAGTCGTTGATCCAACAACTTATATTAATTTAATAAACAAACGTCGATAAACTTCGAATCTTATTTTTCATTGACATATTACATTCTCTGATAGTCTGATTTGACACATCATATCTTAAGTATGTCCACTAAAAAAGTCCAACACCACACTCCAGCCTTATCTGTATAAAGATTCTATTCTCACATTGATGAAGCTTAGCAGACAAGAAATACCCTGTAGTAGTGAGATATATGAGAATATATACCAATGTGTGCCTATATATAAGGTGGAAACAACTATCTAAAAGAGCAAGGACTTGATAAAACAAAGTTATGTATGTGTTACAAATACTTTCCCGTCTAAAAGAGTCTTGCATGAAGAGGTAGAGAGTGTATTTGAGCCAGAATGACTTGCCGAAATTTAGGTGCAAAGCAATGTGCCTGCAGCTCATTGTCTTTTCGGCGAGTCATGCCTGGCTCTGGTCTGCTCTCTTCTTCCCATGTAAGTCTCTAAAGACTTATTCATGGTTGGACCACTCCCTACATGGGTGCAATGACATTAGATGAGGTTGAGCTACCATATGTTTCATTTGGATTTGAAACTAAACTGTACCATCCCCCCTCTCTCTCTCTCTCCCTCATTTTATTGATTATCTGTTAGTGTTTTTGATTATGTTGTTCTAGAAAAATACTCTCACATTTGCCTAAGTACGTCAAATGCCTTTACTTAATACTATTTTTTTCAACGTCTCTGGGGTTGTCGTAGGAAAAAAGAAAAAGCACATGAATGAATCTGTGTAAGAAATATGATGCACACAGTTCTCAATTCTTAGCTCGTTAGTACTTAAACTTTCAGTTCGAGAATGTCCATATAGTCAATGTAATTCATGTTCTTGACTCTAATCAAATCACCATTTGCGGACCGTAAATTTATCTGGTGATGACATCGTTTCAAACGATATTATAATTCGCTCAATAGTACGGAAAAAACATATTATTCGTATACGCATTTTAAATAAATCAATGTATAATACGGAATGCCTTTAACAACTAAATGCAAGGTTGGATTAAAGAGTTGTCATTTATTATGAATCTATAATTCGTCCTTTAATACTGCAACTAAATGACCAAGAACATTGTTGACAAAACTAACTATACTATATATATATATATATATATATATATATTTAGTTATCTCTTTTCTCTTGAGTTCAATCTTTGCCAAACTGCCACTGTCAGTATTATGGATAATTGTAAGGGGTAAAATCGCTACGGATCTCATCCCTCCACTCGAAGGATTCTGGCTGACCTGGCGGCACCGAGCCCCAGTAACCTTTACCTCTCTTGGCCAATAGGACTCTTTCCTAAGGCAATTCCACATCGGAAGAGAGTCGTTTTTTCCCCTCGCATAAAAGCTCTCAAAGGGGGCTCGGTGCCGCCAGGTCA